GCCTTCTACCTGAGAGCAGCTAGGCCAGAGCAGGGCTGTGTTGCACCAGGGTGCACAGTGAGAGTGTAGATATCTGGGTGTTTCTTACAGCAGCCTTCTGGGGGAAAGAAAGGGGAACTATAAAGTCTGTTGCAGAAAGGGACAAAGGAAAAGCAAGGACAAACTGAAAGGACTGCCGTGGTACCTTGTAAGCAACATAGGTAAAGAGAGGGAAGAATAGAGTTTGCCAGGATCAGAATGTGATTGACAGAAACCCGTAGGAAACAGAGCCCCGTATCTTCCTTGCTCACAGAAAAATTTGCTAGGCTTTTATTCAACCTGTCCACAAACATATTTTCTCTTTCACTCTCAACCTAAAGTACCAAGGAAAAGGTTGTATTTGAAGCTCACTAATGAGCATCTTTAGTACTCATTAAGTAGATGTGCTAAAAGCTACTTAAACTTCTAGGGCTTACAAATATAAACATTGAAATGACCATATCAAACTCTGCATTACAGCACAGAAAGTAAAAAACCTAATAAAGTGACTTGTTTTGCTCTCCTAGCTGGATTTGCATCAGCAGCTCTTCTAAATTCTGCTGTATTCTGTCATTATTGTTCCCCAAGATGAAGGTTTTTTTAAAGTACACATTCAGTGTAATCTAATTTAATAGGATTATTTCAAATGAGGAACGACTCACAAGTAGAAGTTGATAACTTAAGTTAACATTGAAACTGCCTTTACACACTTCAATTAGGTCAGATTGAAAAAAGGTATAGATAGAGCTTCATCTGCAAAATACCTGATTAATGCATTGCATTAATCTTAATGCATTAAGTATTTGCAGGGGGGAAGCAGAGAACATTGGGAATCAATCACTTTATCTCTTAGAGGAATGTAAAACAGATCAACAGGTGTTGTGTTGTGTATTAGATGCCTTTATGTCTGATCTCTTCAATTTATGCAGCATGACACAGTCTCATAGCAAATGCAGGTTCAACCTTAGCAAATCCCTAAGTATTTTAAATTTTAAATTATATTTTTCACTTGTTAAGGTTGATTCTGAAGACAGAAGATATATCAGAAAGGAAATTGTATGAGGCAAATTTGAAAATTTATTCATGGTTTTAAACTTTGGTTCACGTTTCCTCCAGGTTTGAAAAAAAGGAAAATATATTGATTTCAAAGTCTGCAGATTTCTTCATGGGCTTTTTACAACTGAAGAAACCACTATGGTTCTCTTCCCCAGGCCATCTTCTTTGGCATTTCTCTTTGTACTGGACAACCGAAAAAATTCATATATCTTCTGCAAAAACTAAAATCTATTTCTACACTAGAAAATAGTACCTTGGGTCCAACTTTTTTCCAAAAAGCTGTTGCTATGGTATGAATTTGTTCTGAACTACCAGGAAAAGGAGGATTTTTAGAGACATGCTTGAGGAAAACAATAGGAAGGGAAAACAATATTAAGGGGTTGGAGATTTTTAAACTGAGAGTCCAGAATTTTAAAAATTAAAGAAGGATCAACCTATAAATTTCTTTTTCTAGCAGTGCAGGGTTATTTGGTCAAGAAGCCTTCTGCTTCCATTTGGAGCTACCAACCAGAATAATTTGATAGACAGGCATTTTCTTGTGTATGTTGGGAATATTCAGTGTTCCTTCTTTTTCTATTTTTTTAAAAAATGCTAATGTTTTTTTTCTTCATTTGCAGTTTTCTGGTCTACCCCAACACAGTGTTGAAGGAACAGTATCTGTTTAATAGAACAGGGGTGAGGGCACCTTGAGGGTCATCTGGAGCATCAGCTTGCTCCAAACCAGAATCAAACACAGCCACTGCAACAGGAATTTCAGTGCCTGAGGTTTCACTACTTTCATGGCAGTTTCATTCAGATGCTTAACTAACAGACCATTATAAAATCTTTTTCATTACCTATACTACCTTCCCTTGACAGAAATATCAGCTCAGTCTCTGTAAATCCACACCTCCCCTACCACGCAAAAGGGTCCAGGTCTGCTCACCAGAAGTGCTGAAAGATGGATGCCTCCTAAGATCCTTCTGCTTTTATTGCCCATCAAGCACTAGTACTTGCTGTGCCCTAAGCCTCTAACCCACAGATAGTACGTAACACTAGCGTGGGAATTTTTAACCCAATACCACTGCTACCATGTGACACTGAGAAACCCTTCAGCCCAACAAAAACCCAGAGAGAATAAGGGAGTTAAAAGGTTTTCTTTTTTTATTGCTGCTCCACAGTTTTAGTCCATCATGTTCTCAGTTAAATCTGCAGCAGGCTGAGAGGTTAATTCCTCCATTAACACTGCCTGATGCTTTACATGCCGTGGGCGGCACAGTGAGCCAGGAACTCTTTATCTCCTCATCTGCACAGTTGCTGCATGATGCTCTGCTGCCTTGCCTGTTTTATTACAACACAGTTCATCATGCTTTCATGCAGAAGGGGATTTCATTGCAGTTTTGAAGATAAGTTTATCTTTTTTATCTTCAGTTGGGTGACACAAAAACGGAGCAAACGTGACATGGAAAATACAACAGAAGCTGTTCTCAAGCCATCATGCAAAAGTGTGATAAAAGGATCATTTTCACTGTCAGTAGAGTAAATTTCTTCAGATGAATTTAACTGCTTTACTGCAACAATCTTCTGCTACAAACTGAGGAGTATTTTTCAGACCACTTTGCAAGCCACTTCTTAATCTAAAGAAAAAGAGATTGGTCCATTCTCCACACACTTACACTCGGATAGAAGCCATTATGGACTCAGACTCCTGTGCCAACAAAAAGTCTTATCTAATTATGGAAAGAAGAATTAAGAGCAGTCAACAGGTCTCCATTGGTAGGTCTAGTGAATTTAGCATGGTTCTAAGCTTTAGTTTCTTGTGCCCTTGGCAACATCCAGTGAATGAAGATTCTGTAAATATATTTGGCAGTTCATGTTAGTACTATACAACAACTGTATTTAAAACTTAACTTCTATCCTCTCTAAATTAAGTCCCAGTTTGTCATTTAATCGTATTGTCAGGAGAAAAGTTATAACCAAAAACCTTAAGAGAGAATAAAAATTAATATATTTTATAGACCAGGAAATGAATACAAAAAATTTCAAGTAGGAGACATAATTAAATCTTTTTAAATTAAAAGTTATTGTTAATATTTTAAGGGCAATGCTTTGCAAGTCAAGAGTGAGTGCATTATTTGGACACCTCTATGTCTGTATTTTTAAGTTCTGTGTTACTGTAAAGAACTTTATCATTTGTGACTAGTGACTACCTTATAATTTGTAATTCTGACTTTTAGTCACAGAAAAAAAACACCAGTTGTTTGCTGATGCAATAGAAAACTCCGCTGGAATAGAGAACATATTAATACATTCCCACTCACAACCAGAGAGACACATTACACCAGGCAAGAAATCTTCACTTCTGAAAAGGAATGTCCTTTCCTTAGACTTCTTATTGCTTACCTTAATAAACTGCAAGTAGTGATTTTTATGTCTAGCACTGAAGCATACTATGTTTTGAAATTGTTTTTTACTTTATTTTGTCTTAGGGTATTTAACAAATATGTGGAAAAAGCAACAAGACAAATAAGAATAACAACAAAAAATCAGTGCAGCACTCCTTTTTTTTGCTGCTAAAGAAAGAAGAAATGTTTTCCCTGTAGTGACACTGTTTTTGTATAAGTGTATGGTATTAAAATGTACTGCCATGTGATGTTCTAAAAGCACCTCAGTAAAGGATATAAAGTTATTTATAAAATCTACAAGAAATTAGACAATCTATGTAAATCAGTCTGTCATAATGTTTGCATTTTCCACTGGAAGATAAAAAAACAAAAGTCCACGGGAAAGCAGAAAAGTACTTGGCATCCAGAGCAATTTATTACTTGGGGGAAAAAAAATCCATATTGTGCCTTGTCAGCACAAATTCCTCTCTTTGTTTCCAGCAATTCAAAGTCGAAAGGCAAGGTTGAAGATATAGATTCAGGTTAAGTGTACTGAACCCTAAAATTAATTTTAATGTAACAGTCTAGGTATTTGATTAGTCTGCATTATTATAATTTATTTATGGACATTATCGCTTGCTAAATGTTCCCATCACTTTGGGCAAACCTTCACAATAATGGCTTTGATAAACCTCTTTGCTTTGCTAAAGAAAGCTGTTTTGGATGCCAGCTTACTCACAGTGCTGCTTTACTTCACTTGAGACCTGCCAGAGAGAACTGCTTGAGAAGCTGATTTTTAAGAACCCCTGAGCAGTCTCAGCAACCCTGGAGACCCGTGAACACTTAACTCTTCTAAAAGGCAAGCCTGGGAGACAAAGAACTGAATCTGTACCTCCATATTACATTTAACTATGTCAGGGCAATTAAAGAGTTCTTTGACAGAGTAGCTTCTATTTCATATGATTATAACTTCAGCCACTGCCTTCATACATCCTTACAGCATTTAAATGTACTCTGTTACATCTATCCGTTTTTACACCACTAGAAATATCTACTAAGAAACATTCAGTACAGATTTATTCTCAGACTAATTTCAAATTTCAGCACTGCAAACATCAAGAAAAGCTCTTACTCTGCTTCGCAAGAATGTTTAATTCAATTAATCTATCACTGTGTCAAAAGAACTGCTAATTTGACATTCCAGCAATTTAAAATTTCTCTGATGCAAATCTTCACATCATCTATTTTCTCCAGATTTAACAATAACACCAATTAAATTGTCATGTGTACAGGTTCTCAGTGTTTTAAAGAATCAGACTAAATGTGGATATTGGTGAAGTTTTGCATCTTGCAATAAATTATTTCTTATTTGATGTACAACCTATTCCCACTGTATACTCCAAAATGAATTAATTTATTTTTATCAGTTAGGTCAGTAGTTCAAGAACAGACGTGATGACTCTTCGTTAAGCTGTATTTCAAGATCTTTACTTTCATACTTTCATTTCATAGAAGACCTCCAAATCACAATGAGATTTTTCTTTCTTCTATGTCTTTTCTTACCATAGTGAGGAATTATTGCCCAAGCCATTGCAGAAGCGTAGATGCCACCAATCATCCAAAACATACAGAGCCAGCTCAGGTGTTCACCTCGTTTCTCCCGAGCAAGCACTTCCGAAAAATAGGAGAAGACTGTTGGCATAGCTCCACCGATTCTAAAAGGAGATACAGATCATGGATTAAGCAAGGGAGTAACAGCTAGAGAAAGTTTGAACAAGTCCATAGCAGCAGTCATCAGAAACCTCAAATACAAGCGGCTTCTCTGGCAAGTATTTTTTCTCAAATCGCACCATGTGTTGGAGAACTCTAGAGAAAACTTTCATCGGTTTGGATGACATTTTTGTTAAATATTTCCTTGGAAGTTCTGTGTACTATTTATTTCATTTAATGTTTCAAGGGGATTGTTAATGTGTCAGTCACTGGAACAGACACCAGCTCAAAGTCTTGACTTTCACCATTACAAAATCATGGCTGTCTACTGACAAGTGTCAAAATACATTGGTTCTAATGGAAAAATATTAATCATTTTCCCAAAGAGTAATAGGTTATTTCTCTAAGTCTTACCTCCCACAATTTAGGTAACCAAGAGGTAACTAACTCTTGATGGTTTTTTTTACAATTCAAAACATATTCTACTCAGTTGCACTACATGAATAACTAAGCCCATGCTGGCTTTTTACTTAATTTTTTATGAAAAGCGTATGCGTATGCATTCATAATAAAAAATATTCATTTTTTCTTGGTAAAATAAACATGGTCTGAAGGTCAGTTGAACAAAAAAAAAAAAAAAAGAAAGAGAAGATTCAACATGGTTTTACAAAAATTAAAGTAACTCAAAATATGTATCATTTTTAGTACCAGTTTCCAAGTTATCTTTTACTATCTTTACCTGTTCACTATGTACACAAGCTGTTTAATATTCTACATCAGGATAAGTGCTTCTAGATTTTGTTTTTTCCAGTTAAGAAAATACCTTCAGATTACATACTTGAAAGCAATATATGGCATGGTTTGAATTTTTAAGTGAATTTTAAAGATAAATGCATACTTATAATGTTGGGAGCTGCCAAACTGAAAGCAAACAGCAAACTTCAAAACAGTTTTAAACAAATATTAATAAGGGAAATATGGCTACAGAAATGGTATTTCACCACTAAAAAAATTCAGTGCCATAGCCATACAGTTTATTTTAATGTATCTTCATGTACTGGGATGAAGTACTGGATTGAGCTGTTATGCTTGTACAGGGGACTGCTGTTTTCTCTTTTCCTTTATACAGGTTTTTCACAGAATCAGAACCATAGAGTCCGTTAGGCTGGAAGGGAAAGACCAGCTGATTCCAACCCCTTCATGTGGGCAGGGACACCTTCACTAGACCAGAGTTCTCACAGCTCCCTCCAACCTGGCCTTGAACACTACTGTGGATGGCATAACATTCCTCAGTAACCTGGAACAGTAACCTGTTCCAGTGCCTCACCGCCTTCACAGGAAAGAATTTCTTCTTAATATCTAACCTAAACCTGTTCTTTTTCAGTTTGAAGCCTTGTTCTGTCACTACATGCTATTGTAAAAAGCTTCTCTCCATTTTTCTTACAAGATCCCTTCAGGTACTGGAGGGTCCAATTAGGACATCCTGAAGCCTTGTCTACTCTGAAATACTGCTGATCAATATTCAGCTTTACAATGAATCTTTTGCATAGTTGAACCTGCTAGCTGTTACAGGTTCTGCTGGTAATGCAAACATTTACACCTCTAGGAATTCTTGTTACATATACAGCTAATAAAGGCTGTATCCCATTTCTTCTCATGGGTGGAAATACTGAAAGCCTCCACTAGGAAACTGCCCTGTCAAAGGCAACAAGCGACAACGTCCTTGGAGCTTTCCCTGGAAACCTGGGCTGAGATAAAATTGAGGGGTCATAGCTAAGGGTAGAGACACAACTCATTTTCCTGTGATGGGGAAACCCTTCTATCTCAGTGCTTTTATGGATTCAGGGCTCTCTGGTTCCCAAAATATAAATGGATTACAGCTATGATGTAAACCCTCCAGGGTGCAGAGACAGCTTTGAATTGCACTCCCACAATTTTCCAAATAGAGTAGTCATGGCTATAATTAGAGTTTATTTTCTAAGGTTAAAAATTTACTAGTACAACCAGAAACAAGATATTCTTGTTTCTTGACAAAGCTGAAAACTGTGGCTGGGGAGTTATAGGTGCCCACTTTCAAGAAGACCTAATTTAATAGGCTGCTCATGGCATCAATTGCGTGGATGTTTCAAACTGAGAAAACCTACCTTTTCTTAATGTCATAAAATTTAGAGAACCTGACCAAAAGTAGCAAAAAAAAGGCATCTCCTACCTGTCAGCATGAACCAACTATATTATGGATGCTGAGAGATAGATGCTGCTTTAGCAGTCAAAACTGCTCCAAGTAGGTTGATGTATATGCTACACCCTAAAGATTCCCCAAAGCTACAGAAAAACCCTGTCTATACTGACCAAATCAATAGTGCAATTTTCCTAGCAAATAGACTTTTTATACATGTTAAAGGAATTCAGGAGCCAGAAAATAAAAATGTTTATTTAGGTTATGCAAATAAGCAGGAAAAAAATAATTAGCTCTGAAAACTTAAAATTTTTCTGTTTCAACCAGTTGGTTTATTTGGCACTTCCAATGAGTATGTCAACAGGCTAAGAAACAATTTAAAGTCCAGATATCATGCTCATATTGACTAAACAGTGAAAATAACCTGTCTAGGGTTTAAAGGAGAAATACAGGATGTATTTCCATCATAATGAAAATTGCTGCTATGTGTAGTTGTAGGTCCTTGTTTCACAGAGATAGTATAATGAAGTGTGTTGTGCACTTTTTTGCACCTCAAACCGGTGAATGGAAAATGTGTTTCTCAGCTGGTTGAACTCTTTCTTCTGGCCTCATATAAGTGCAGACTGATACTGCTACAATATTTTAGGATACTCGCACCTATGAAGCTCTTCCTACATTAGAAAGCTACTACAAGGACTAAAAAGCTATTATGAATGTCTTAGAAAAGCTAATCAACAGCAAAACTGGAGGAGCAAAGAGAGAGATGGAGACGAAACATCCTCCTGCAGAAGACTGTGCTTTTGCTCTTAAAGCTGAAAAATCTCAAAGTGGCAGTAGCCATGTCTCCATTCCCTAAAACTTGCACCCAAATGCAGAGCAAGTGACAGCAGAAAGGGAGAGTAAGAACAGCTACAACTGTTATCACACCAAACAACAATGATAAATAGCCTTAAAAACTGAATGGACCTTGAGAACTCCTCCAAGGAGCAAAGAAATTTCTTCCTGACTTGCAGAAATTTAAACTTGTGCTTGGAACTACAGTAATTTTCTATTATAGAACTAATATGGTACCTGGTATATGGAACTCTGCTAGCAGAAGCATAAACTACCTCTCAAAGCCTTGGGCAAGAGAAGATCAGAGTATCTCCAATTTCCATCGGTGTCTTGTAAGGATTTTCCAGATCCTTCAGCTGCTACTGCTATTTATTCATTAGCTTATCAAAAGTTCATATTTTAAAAACCCACCACCAAATCATCCAACAGCTGCAAGGAAGAATATAATTCTTACAGTTTAAAAAAAAATAAAAGGTAAGCTAGGTGAGCCCTTCCCTATGGAAGGAACAGAATTTGATTCTCAACATTTTTATTGTATTGTATTGTAGGTTTGAAAGCAACTACCTCTTTGTTGCCCACTAACATTTTGTGAAATGCATGGTGACATGCACAGGAGTGAATTTCAAGTAAAACTAAAAGCAGAGCCACTACTATTTTTTCAGTAGGAAGACTTCATCTTTTGTTTTAAGGGAAATAAATGCAAATGCTATTTTCCCACACCATGCAGTGTTAAGTCTGCTTCTGGCAATTAAGTGGTATGATACAGTGGGCTGTTTGCTGTTACTGTGTTTGTAATTATATGGCTCACCATCACTTGTAGAAAATTATTTGATACATGAAACTATATTCTTCTCTTATGTCTGCCTGTGCAGATGACAAGCACATGAAAACTGTGTAGACTTGAGAGGAACATTAATTCTAGAAATGGAAAGGATTTTAACTTTCCTAAACATAAATTATTCAAACAAGCTGAAGTTTTTATATTTCATCTGTTATTCATTTCTGTTATCTCTTCAGTTATTCTAACCAAAGCAGTGGATATAAGCATGTTACTCACAGGTAACAGAGAGAAATCCATGCACTACTTCCTTAGAGGTCACAAGAAGTATTTATCTTGTTAGTATGTACAAAAACTAAGTACTTTTTTAATATCTTCACAGGTAAATTGTGTGGAATCTGAACTTTTAAAAAAAGATTTTAAAACACTGATATAAACCTCTGGGATGATGAACATGAGTGATAGCTGTCTCCTGAATAACACATGCTGTAATGAGACACAATCTGATACCAACAGGAGGCAAATCTTCATTGAGCTTGTCCAAGATCATGAAATAAGCACTCTCACTCAATGAAGATCAGATTATTCATGTGAAATGAAAGGATGCATGCCTTCAGCCTTGCTTTTTTTGTAAATATGTATAAATATATGCAAGAACAGCACTGAAGAAACAGCAGGAACCTTTTGCTACTGAACATATTGTTTATATGTGGGAGAAAAGCATATATGTCAATCAAAAGAATGATAAATATTGATCTTTTTTTCAGTTATTCTTCATCTTATGTAATAAACCTCACCAGAAGTAGGCAGAGCAAGAGGGAATGCATATTCATGTATTTATGTACACGCTCAGATCACGTTTGTTCTGAGAAAGGTAAAACCAAAAGGAGATTTAAGTGATGCACCTTAGGAGAGTGGGATTCAGAGAAGCAAACAATAAGCTAAGATACATTTGCATTTTCTTTGTTACAAACAAAGATGATAAATGTCTGCTAATCTACCTTCAGAGCTGTGATTTGTCACAACAGATTTTGGCAACTGCACAGTGTGACAGCTGGGATGAAAACACGTCTGTGAGGCATTCAGAAACCTCTGGCTTCAGATAGAAGCTATTGTTTATTTGCTGATTCACTAGCCAAAGGGGCTTGAAATGCAAAAGCATACATGAAATAATTAGGACAAAAAGCCCTTACAGAATACTAAATATACAAGGTAGG